CACACACACACAAGCATACTCACACACATACACACAGGCACATTGCATATCAAAGACCGAAAAGGCGTTGAAGCACAGCAAATTCAATTCAACTACTGTTGCTTAGCCAGTCGAAGTTTGTTATTGTTGTTGTTTCTGTTTGATAAAAGGTCGAACGAGGGCCGTAGTTCAGTGAAGTGGCGAGGCGGGGAGAGGCGAGGAGGGGCCACAACAGCAACGGCCAAAACCCAAATAATATTAATATGCAAATTGAGTTTTTTAGTTGAGTGATCTAAGCGGATAACTGTGGCCCAAGACAAGGGCAGCAATCCGAGCCAGGACTCGGGCGCAGGCAAACAGCAATGGGCCTTGAATGGACACGTAACCCCTGGAGATCGAGAGGCAGCTCAGCCAGCTCGGCAGCCCGTCCGAGCACTTTGCTTTATTGATTGCCCGCTGGTTAGGGCCAAAGGATGGGCACGGACAGCACCGGCAACAGCTCCAGCAGCAGCAGCGAATAATGCGAGCATATCACACATTTCGATTCAAATGCGACTTGTGAATCAATTGAAATCATATTTTATTAAACGTTTACGGGGCCATTTCCCACAGCCGCGACGGGCAAACAATGCCAGGCACATACTTTAGCCCTGGGGCTCTGGGGCACACAAATCAATGTAGGTTCGTGTGTGCACATATATATAACATAAATCGGATCAGGATCAGCAGCGTGAGCAGCGGGCAGCCGCCGGGCGGGACACCAAAAATACACAGCAAAATATTTACAAGAAGTTTGCTGCAACAAAAAATAAAATAAGCCCGAGGCAGCGCATCAAATGCGAGCATAAATACATACAAAAATAAACAAGAGCTTTATTTGCCACGCCGAAGCTTAAATACCCTAGATAAACAGATATATGGCATATAAGTGGTATTTATATGAGAGCTTTAACCCCGACCAATTGTTTGCATAGGAGGCATAAGATATAGTAAATCGATATGATATGGCTTAGCAGATATGTGGGGAGATTTTTGAAGCTCGCAATGCTGAGTCTTGAAAAGCAGAAAATATTTTATATAATAATTTATTGGGGGAATTTCCCAAGGAGTTAATAATATAGTAAGCCGATGTTGATAGGATATATGTTAAGAGCCTGTTACTAATAAAGCCAGAAGCTGATAAACGGCAAGGTTCGTTAAGAAATCTTAAAAATAAGAACATTGTAAGTACAAGAAGTTAGTTTTTGACTAATCATTCCTATGGCAAATATATATGATATAGAGGTCCGATCCACCTGATTCCTACCTTCAACAGAAAGATGGATCTATGAAAACATTTATGATGATAGCTTAAAAGCTGAGACGAAAGTTTGCAAAGAAACTAGACAATTAGACATGACTATATCGACTCGTCCCTTGATGCTGATCAAGAATATATATACTTTATGGATTCGTCGACATCTCCGCCTATGCGTTACATATTCGGCAAGCAATTTAATAATACCCTCTACAGGGAATATTAACAAAATTTATTTTCAAGTAGAATTGTAACGAGGGCAGACAGAGGGAGGGAGAGAGCTTTGGGAGTGGGTTGTGGGGGGCGGGGTCGTTCAAGTTATGAAATTTGCTTTTCTGCATGAAATAAATTTCCAAAGAAATTGAAAACGAAAAGCGCAGCGCAGCGCAGATTGAAAGCAAACTGGAGACAGACAAAAACTGACAAACAGCCGTGCGAATGTGTAGAAATGGCACGATTCAAATTTCAGTGCTGCCGCGCGCGCGGTCGGCATGGAATTGGAAGTGGGCGTGGGCGTGGGCGTGGGCGTGGGCGTGGGCGTGGGCGTGCCGTCTGGCCCAGTTGGTGGCCCATTGTGGCTGCCGGCTGTGAGTTTGTGCGGCGAAAAAAAAAAATGGCCCCAAGGATTTAGCAAATGTCACGCAAACGGAAAGTTGTCGCTGACGATGACGCTGACGCTGACGCTGATGGAGTTGGATTCAGATAGGGATACGGATTCATGCAATTCAAAGCAAACACCGCAAGCAATTGATTTATAATTACGGTCGGGCCGGAAGTGAGCCGCTGCCAGAGCCATTTACCGATTTGCTCAATTAGCCAGCTGGATGGCAAGCATGCAACTGAAACCAGCAGCGCTACAGAATGTTAAATGGCTCTCTCTCCCTCTCCCTCTCTCTCTCTCTCTCCCTCTCCCTCTCTCTCTCTGTCTCTCTCTGTCTGCCTCAAGCTTTCTCTGTTGAGCGCAATTTCCGCTTGACATGCTGCTCGTTGGGCAATTTTGGTTTTCTTTTCTCATTTTTATGTTTTCTTTCAAGTTGCCTTCCACCTGTGGCGCACACGGTGCGTATGCGTAATGTCCCCCCCAGCATAATTTGCTCAACTTGGCATTGCCCGCCCCCACATTTGTTCTCTTTTTAATGCCACCTCCATAAAAAATCTACGCTGCCCCAAGTTTGAGTATTTTCCTAAACATATGCAAATTAGAATATTTGCATGTGGCAGAATAACAGCGGCGGCAGCATTCCGCCTCAGGCTGTTTCCACGGATTCTCACTGGACGTGGACACGTATGCGGCATAACGAATGTTGCCTCGTATTGTGTGGCTGCAACAATTTTCCAGCCACTGTGTCTAGACATCATTTTAAGCCAATTTGTATTAAGATTAGATAGAGTCTAAACTAAAATATGCTAAAAAAATAATAATAATAATAAAAATATATTTAAAAAAAAGCAAATTTTACGGCCCGAGCGCCATTAAAAAATCTGTAAACTTTTTATGATTTTTTAATTACTTGATATGCGTTTATGGCTTATTTAATTATCGAAGTACATTAACTTTTCGTTTGTGTTCATGAGGCCAGGGCTGTGCTTAAATCCTTGTAGAGAGCATTATAAATTGACTAGGATATGTTTAATGCATAACAGGATATGTGCTTAACCTCAACAATTATGAGGTAATATATATGTGGGAGTTAGGCAGATCGACGTATTTTATATGTAACTGCCACTGGTGCGAACGGTCAATAATTAAATCGTTTGTTAAAGAAAATGTTGTTTAATACGAAATATGAAACAAACTTGACATTACCGAGTTCTGCCAGATTCCTTAAATATAAGCCAAATCTTCTCAGAAATCATATCGAACTACTATATCATAAAGCTCTAGACAAAGAATTAGTCGGAAAAAAAGTTTGTGTATGGAAAACTTTTCTGTTTTTTAAGATCTCTTGACCAAATTCAGCTATTAGGAGCTCCAATATTCTCCCGACGTGTAAGCCAAACTGTATGAAATCTTTCTAGCATAACATATAAACCCTATAGGAACAATCTGTGTGTAAATATGTTGTATAAAAACATTGCTTGGCCACATCCTTTAAAGGCATTCAAATTTCAAGCAACGTTTTTAGCCTTCAGTTTACTTCATGCCTTTTAAAGCCAAAGCCAAGACACAGACACAGATTGTTTAAGGGATAAGATGTTTCAGCTTCTATAAGCCCTTGAATAATTAATTCCCATGCCAGACACACGCACACACGCACACACACACACACTCACGCACGCACACACACAGACAAGAAGAACAAGCAGGCGCGAGATCATATCAACAGGAATTGAAAGAAAATCGAATACGCAGTCCTGCACATGCCTAATCCTGATGTCAGCTCACGCTTGGTGCACCTTTTCGGACTACTCGAGCCGTTGCCGTCGGCATGTCCGTTATTTTGTTTACAAGAAAACATAAATCTCAGCGCTCTGGCGGGCAGTGGGCGGAGGCTTCGCATCCGTTTTTCGGTATGGGCATGTCTGTGTGCGGTCGAAAGGATTGCCAACGGTTGCCGTGTGAAATGAAACATATCATCACTTCAAGACCCACACATGTGCGGGATGCCGTTTGCGCCGGCCTATGTCAGAGGCGCACGTCTGCTCGGGCAACCAAAAAAATTAGAAAAAAAAAATAGAAAAAAAGGCCAAATGGAGGACCTGGAGGAGGTGGGGTGTGGGCGTGTGAGCAGCTTTGGTTTGTACGCGTCAACTGTAAAATCCTTTTTGACATGCCACGAGCAGCACGGGGAGCAGGGGCTTGGCCATACACATCGACTACGTCTGTGTCCAAAGTGGCCATAAAAAATGGGCTGACTCGGGAGCTAAGGGGTGGGGCCTGCTTTTAGATGAAGCAATCCAATTATAAAGAATTTTAAACTATGTACCGTGAAGAGGACATTTAAAGCGCACACAAGAACCAGGTTATTAGCGCATTAGTGTGTGTCAGCTGAGTGTGTGCCCGTGTGTGTGTGTCTGTGTATGGGTGTGTATGTGCGAACAAGTTATTAAAAAGGAGCAAAGCTGTGAAGGGCCACATCAGTCAAGCTCTCACACAGCTGGTCTCCATTTCGGCCATGTGTAGAGAGAAATTGACGTGAAATTTATACGCTGTGTTTTTCCGGCCGAAAGTTGAAGAAAAAATATAGCAACAATCCATAAAGTAAATGTTGCATTTAAACAAACAAACCAAGCGGCAAACAGACAGACAGACACGAACAGTGACAAACACTGGAAGCCAAAACTGACAGTGACAACTGGCTGGCTGAATGGGGACGATCGGAACGGAACGGAACGAAACGAAACGGAGCAGCGAATCGTTGATGATGATGCCAACGACTACGCCGTCTCCCGGTTTCCGTCAAGCAGTACACACAAATAAAAAAAAAAAAAAATTGACATAAGCGGATATGTTACACAGCGCCTTTGCGCTGGCTGAGTCGAGGGGGGGGAATTGTGTATGGTGTGCCATAGGCAGGGGCTGTATGCGCACTGAGCAGATAAATTAATGCGATTTTTCATGCTACATGTTTGAGTTTGATTTATGAAATTATACCTTCCTCTCCCACTATCTCTCTCTCTCTCTCTCTCTCTATCTCTCTGGCTCGCCGGTGATGTACAACTTTTGTCAAACATGTCTAAAAGCAGTCATTTTTTATATTTGATATAAAGCGGAAATGCTTACCATGTTTCCGGTTTGTTACCTACCGACGCACAATTGTAACATGCCCGCAGAGCCCACCTATTTAGCGTTCAGCTGGCAATACCCTTACAGAGAACAGCTTTTGGTACATCTATTATTCAGCTTTGGGTCAACAATGGGCCGTTGCTAGCAGAGCATTCATAAAAGTTAGCTGAAAGCATTCCAAAAGAAAATTCTTTTTTAAAAGAAATAAATAAAGTGCGATTTCTAAGAAATACTTCAAAGAATTATCTTAACTACTTCTAAATATTTGTTAAAGTATTCCTAAATTCAAAAAAACTTGGTTTTTATTTAAGTTCAAAAACTTTTAAGCAAGCCAAAAACATGCCAAGTCAAGTCACGGAGCTAGACATGAAAAGTCCCAAATGACATTTTAGAAAATTGTTCAAGCAAATATTTAAAGAAATTTTCTAAAATATTTGTAATATTTATCGAAAAGTATTCTTTATATAATAGACTTTTATATTTGAGTATACTAAAAACAAGCAAAAAGACAACGAAGTACGAACAAATAGGTCTAAGATAACATTTTTTAAAGAGTATTCAAAAGTATAATTTAAAATTATTCAAGCAAAAATTGTTGATTTTAAAACGAATTGTCTTTTTTGTAGCTGTTGTTGCTGAATGACTTGTCGATCTCCCAAGCAGGATTTCAAGCTCTCGACTGTAATTGCTTACGAGCCCGTTTAGAAACCAAATCATAAAGTATTTATACCCTTTTATAAGAGTATTAAATACCCAACATATGCCGCATGACAGCAGAAGCATCAACAAGAGGATCAATATGGAGCAGGCAGACTCAACAAGAATTGGCAGCAACGTTAATTTGTCATGGCAGTGGTTGTGGTCAATACACACACACCCACACACGCAGACACACACACTGGCACACACACTCTCGATATTACACAACAAGTGATTTTCTTTTTGTGTGCCCAGTGCTCAAATCAGAAATCTGTATGTATGTGTGCTCGTACCTGTAATCTGGACAACAAATCCGATTAAATGCAAATGCTGCAGAGGCCCCCAGCCACACTCTGTGCGTGTGTGTGTGTGATGTGTGTGTGTATGTGCCACACACCAGCGAGTGGCATGCAGCTTAGTTGCGTAAGTTATCAGCAACGGGATTGAAGACCAAAGTGGCCAGCAGCATCGGCAGCATCGGCAGCGGTTGCACTGCAGCATCTAATTTGGAGACGACACCTAAGCAGGTGTGTGCGTGTGTGCGTGTGTGCTGTGCGTGTGTGTCCACTGCAGCAATTCGCAATCGGCGGCTTCTAATTATTATTTCAATAGCACAGCTTCAAGGCACTTTGCGGACTTGCATTAGCATCGAGCGAACGGGCCACTCATATGCTCAGCGGTCTACTCTGGGCCCATAGATAAACTGCATGGCTTAGAACGCTGCCAAAATAGTTGCCATAAAAACTCATTTCGGCCATTAACTTGGACCGACGAGTAACAAGCATCGAATTGCCACTGAGGACGCGTTGAAAACGAAAAGCTGCTTCAACAAAAAGGAATTAAATGCCTTTGGCTAGCCGACGACTAAATACCCTATCACAATATTCTTAATCTCGTCTTAATTGTTTTTATGGTAGACATTTGATATTATGGACCGATTCGATTGGGATTGCGGATATCTGAGCAGCGTATGTGCTCCTATTTGGGAGATTTGATTATTAGTATTTTGAAGACAGAAAAGTTTAGCATAAAATACCCGATTCTTCCTTTACAGCTGTTAATATAGTGCTCCGATGTTAGTAAGATATTATATTTTAAATTGCGAAAATGCCTAGATTGGTCAAGATATCTTGAAAAACAAATAAATGTTCGATAAAAATGTAAATTTTCGAACAATTTTCTCTATATGATATAGTTGTCCAATCCGGCCGATTCAGACATACATTTACTGCCTGCAAAAGAAATTCGAGACTAATTTGCATAGAGACAGACGCGGATTATATCGACCCGGCTGATTATACAAATAATATATACACTCTATACGCTCAGAGACATCTTCGTCTAACGTTACACATTTCATGCCAAAATTGTGATACCCTCTAGTAGGGTATACAAAGGAAATGACAGCCATTTTCTATGCCAATTCCTCGCTGCAGCCAGGCAGCCGTCCATGGAGTTCCTGGGAAAACTCACAACTGCCCGCAGGTTGGACTGGGCGGGTCGGGTGCTCCAGGGTGGATAACACAAGTCGACGACTCTTTAAAGCTCTTTCGTCTGCACTACACAAATTGCTTGTTTAAAAAAAAAAACGCCGAAAAAAAACTGCGCCAAATATTTGTTGAACATTTAAGCATCGACATTATCATCATTGTCGCAAGTTTGTTTGGCTTCACATCAGAATTTTATGGAGCGCGCACAAATATGAGACAGGATCGAGAACGAGCACGAGAATGTGGGCACAAAAAATGGGATTGGGAGCGGGCACGGGCGCGGAAGCGGGAGCGGGCGTGAGCCACCAGACGATGGTAAAAATAAAAATGCCACTTCCGTTTTATTTGCGCAAAATTAAATAAACCGAAATATGGGCAACCATATTGGCGCATAATAGGAAAAATATTTTGTTCATTAATGTGCCCCAAACGAGGAGTAGATGGAAAGCAAGCAAAAAAAAAAAACTAAAATAATAAAAGAAAAGGGAGGACTGTGCCCGACTTGCAGGTGCCCTGGAAATACATAGTTCTATCTGAGAAATATCTTTGAATAAACGTAGATATTTCGTATCTTTAACAGGTGAAACAGAGCAGAGTATAGTCGTAAGATTTTTTTTCTAAGATTTAAAATCTTGAAAAATGTAAAATTAAGAGCCCGTTAAAAGAAATATAAAATTAAATATGATAGTTTTTTATATATATTTTTACAAAATTTGGATTCCATATTCCATGTTCGAATATAAGACTTGAGAATGAATAAAGTATTATTTGACCCAAAGCTAATAGTTCTAGTTAATAGGCTTGTAGCCTAGTTTATTTTTTAAGAGATGAACAGGGTTTGCCTATCCTCAAATATATCTTTACTAAAGATCCTGGCGCACAATGCTGGACAACCCTCTTTCATCTTCCACTTTATAGACACACACACATGCACGCACACACATAGCTGCTTTTTATACCCTTGCCAAGTTCGAATTACAGGGCATACGAAAGCAAAAATAAATAAGCAGCCAAAAAAAAAAAAAAGGAAAGCCGAAAAGTAAAAGCTTTGCCACTAGCCAGTTTATTGTGTACAAACATTTGCAGGACTAAAGCGACGCCAGGACAGCGTGGAGGATGGCAGCATGTTTTTGGGCAGGAGCCGAACCCCCACTAAGTGACTGGCCGAATAATATTAGATCGAAGCTTGTGTAAGCCGCCGAAGAAAGGAAGGGGCAAGGCATATAGCCTATTGAATGTACCAATCGAATGGCGCTCAGTTCTTTTAAAGTGTTCGCTGCCAGACGGGCAACGGACCAGAGCTGAAATCCATCTGCTGTCTGTGTGGGAAGCCAGCGAGCCGCACTAATCAACACAATTACGGTGCAGTCGAAGGAAAACTTTTCTAATTGGATATGAAGAGGCGCACATGCGTTTCCTTAAAAAGAAATTTCAAGCGTCTCACGGAGCGGGGTCCGACACACAATTTGGCAAAGAAAATGGCGAGCGACAGGAGCAGCAGCAGCAGCAGCTCCATAGGCGTCGCACGAGACACCGAACCCCAGCGCCGTGTACGCTGAAATGCTTTGACAAATTATTTTTAAGCCAATTTACAACTTGAGAAAAAGTATCAAGAAAACATATCACCCAGCCGAGGCGAGGGTGTGTGTGTGTATGTGCGTGTGTGTGTAGGTAAAGCAAATATAATGCGAGGGATAAAAGTGTAAAGTTGACAACCCAAGCACATTACTCACCCGAGGTGCCAGCTACAACGAAGGCATTAAAATAACCAACCAAGCGATTCAACGTCAAATGAACAAAGAGCTGAAACAGAAAACAGCAACCGGAGCGCGTTGCCTGAAATGGGCATGGCCAAGAAAAATGGTAATACGCTCCTCTGTCCGCGCCCGAGCTGGCGTAGCCAAAGCCGAAGACAGACTTAAGTGTATGCAGCCGGAGGTAGTCAACGAGTTCATGTTGTTTGTGTGCGAGTGTGTGTGTGTGGGTGTGTGTGTTGGCCCAGCTCCTTCATTCGCACGCCTGGCTAGCTCCACTTCCAGTTGCACATGATGCCAGCTGTTGTTGGCCAAGGAGCAGCATTTTCTCAAGCTCGACAAAATGACGACACTCATTGCCGGAAGCCATTAATTTTGTCACTCTGGAGCTGCAGCACATGAGCCGCAGTCCGTAGTCGTAGTCAGTGCTGCTACGTGCTGGTGTCCTGTTTGGTGTAACGGCCATTGACCAGCACAATATTGAAAATCATGAAAATGCAATTAAAGTTGTGCACCTGCCCGATGGGTCAGGCCCAAGCGCCCACACACACATTCCCGTTTGGGTGTGCGGCATTTGTCCGGCTGACTTCGGCGACGTTCGAGGCATAAGTTAATTGTTGCCAAAGCGCAGACCGCAATGACCGCAAGCACAACAACAACAACAACCACTACACCACGAACAATAACGGATGGTGCATGCTCAAAAGTTGACATGACACTTTGATGATGATGCATTGCGGCCAGCAACGCGGAGCAGTGGGTAGCCGCAACTGTTGTGACCGCAAAAACCGCGTACATGTTTACAATTTGATGTGCATGTGTTGTCTTGGCAATTGACTTAATAATTACAATGCATAATTTAATAGCTCAATATTTGTTATGGCTTATCGGGCCATCGAGTAACAATAAACGTTAGAAATTAAAATATATACTAAGCGTGGCGGCCATTGGTTTATGGCCAAGTCAATCTTTTCTCGCTGTTTCAGTCTTCGATTACGCACATAATATTGATGCCGCTCTTGCCCAAATTGACGCCCTCCAGCGCCGATTCCTGATGGGTGCGCATATAAATCAGAAACTGTATGATAACATAAAACAAATTGTTGCGATCGTAGGCGCAATTGTGCAGCTCCTTTTCGCTGATGAAATTAAACTTGGGCTTCAGCTGATTGTTGGTTACGAGTATGGCGCAGTGTGCTTTGTTATTGACCGCATTTATTATGTCCTTGGTGGAGCGTTTCTCCTCGCGTATGAGCACATAGCGCGAGTGGAAGGGCCGTCCGCCACCCTGTGGCAGAGGCATCAATTGGCTGTCCAAGTACACGCAGAACAGATGAAAGAGTATCTAGAATAGGCAGGCGACATTTGATTATATTGGAGTTTCCAGGATGATGTAAAAAGTGCGGCGCACTCACTGCTGCGTCTGTGGGCAGATGCTCGCCCCACACCTGTCCGTTGTGTGTGTTGCCCGAATTCCAGCGGTAGTCGCCAATGCAGGAGCCCTGCGAAAGATCCCTAATGCGCTGCACCAGATACTCCTGGTTGCTGAAGGTGTCCAGAAAGGGCAGCAGCAGCGGCAGCATGGGTGCACAGCTCTGCACAAACTGTTGGTTCTCCGCCATTTTGCGTAAACGCTCGAGACCGACGGCGCCGATCTTAAAATCGCTTAGGCCGCGCTGACGGAACACTTCGTCCATATGATCGATCTGCTTGACTAGGCGCTGCAATATTGTTGTGGATATCCACTAATATCAAAGAATATTAAAATCCTGGCTCATTTAGGTAAACTCCCAGCACTTACATATCGCAGATTGCTTAAGTATTGCGACAACTTGACCGTGGAGATGCGCTTGATGACCTCCGAGTTGCTGTCCCTGAACTGAAGAAAGCCGAAGTCCTCAATCGAAGAGGGCGCATTCTCTGTGGAGGCTACAGGCGCCGGTGCCAGCTGATAGATGGTCCGTTTCAGCATATACGCCGCATTATTGCAGTAATTCCAAAATGAGTTTCCCGAATCCATGGTCTGCATATTTGATGTATCGGCCAGCTCGGCATAGCTGCGCTCGCGTTCCCGCTCTGCCCGTCTCATCAGTGCCGGCAGCTTGCGCACATCGGTTGGGAAATCGTCGCGACAAACCTCCGCATAGGGCGACATATAGACAGACTCATTGCTCACATTACTGGTATTCAGCGAGTTATTCGCGCCCATGGATCGATTATACGATTGATTATTGTAAGATTGATTGTGAAAGGATTGATTGTTGAACTGCTGTTGCTGCTGGTGCTTCTGTTGTTGGTGCGGCGTGCGCATCGGACTAGGACTGCGACGTGGCGACTGCGTGCCCCAGCGTGAGTCCTCAAACGAAGAATGCCAGTTGATTATGGGTCCAGTATCCAGTTCATCACAATCCGGTTGATAGGTGCGTGGCTTCGACATATTGTTCACAGTCTTAAATGTATTATCTGAATGCATAATAAAGATTTCATTGTATGCTAGTGTTTCCCAGACAGGTGTGCATCTTTAACTTGAAACGAGGCTATGTTTATAATGACATATTCTTGAACAAGGTGTTAGTGCTTCCTAGATCATGTCTGAGTTTGAATGGTGGTGCGTCGACTGCCAGAATGAGCTGGGCTAGACCTAAGGAGTAACTATCTGTTGGTTTGCAGGCCAATTTCATATTAGCAAAGCTTTTTACGAACCCGAGCCAAAGTGTGGTCTAGGGCCGCGTTAAAGAAAACTAAGAAACTTGAGAGAAAACGTAGCTAGCGAGCAAGCAATACGGGATAAGACATAAAAAAATGCTGCAGGACTTAATGTGCAAAGAAACGAACTGACAAAAATCTGAACATGAGCCTCACTTCCGATTATAAAAGGCTTTCTCGCTTCCAGGGAGTTTTTATCTATATTTTGTAGGTGGAGCGTTGAAGCCAGGGAAATTCATTGCATTAAGAGCGCAGGATTGTCCAGCGATTTTTATCCATATCTTAGAAGTACACCTTTGATGCCAGGGAAATGCATTGCTTTTCCACATAAAATGGGGGTGGACAAATAGTTCCGTTTTCCAGTGGCAAGTCCATACCAAAATTAAAAGGAGATTTAAGCAGGCTGAGTCTTTCAGCTGGTGTCAGATCCTTTATATTTGAGAAATGACAAATTTGAAGCAAGGGAAATGCATTGTATGTGTGCCTTTGTTAGGAATAGACGAAGTGCAGTAAGTTTCGTTTTCCATATGGAGCTGTCCCATAGCACATTCTTAACTGGTGTGTCAGATCCTTGATACTTAAGAAATGAGAGCTTTAAAGCGTTGGAAGAGCACTGTATATCTGAATATAACTACTGTGGACAAAGAGTTCATAGCACGTTCTAAGGCGCGCGTTGCCTTATAAAAAGGCTGAGATTTTCTTTGAAGAAAAGGCAACAAATTCTGTTTGCCCAGTGAGGAGCAGAATTGAACCAAGAGGTCAGAATGCACTTAACGCTACCAAATTTTAGTCATAAATGCAATCGCTTACCATTGGCTTCGTCCAGCAGACACCGCTGCAGCTCCGTAACGCACACCGGGCCGCTGTCCACCATTAGCCACCAGATGTACTTGCCGATGCAGGCGGCGGCGCTCATGAAGACGCACACGGCGAGTGTGTACTCCGCCTGGTACCAGAAGGTTGTTCTAGCCGAGAGGCATGTCTGCCAGAGGTCAAATGATATCAATGATATCATGATTATGTTGATGAAACCCCATTTCAAATAGTTTTTGGCCTCTGCACGCCGTCGACGCAGCTCCAAACTTTCCCGCACATTGACACGAGACATCTGTGAGTTTTGTCTGGGCTGTGCGACGGGACTGCGATAATTTGGCGAGCTGCAATTAATTAAGCCATATACACAACCATGTTAATGTTAATAATTCACTGTACTTTACCATTTATTGCTAGAGAAATTCATGTTCTTATGCAAATATAATAACAAGGTACAATGCGTGTTTCCTAAAATATAATGCCGTAATTTGGCGGACTTAAGAAGTGTGTACATATCAAAAAAATATATTTAATATAGTTCGATTGTATCGATATGTTGTGCGCGTGAGGTCACTCTAAAATTGCATTAGTGTAGCAAAGCTGGCTGCTATGAAACCCTATGTGGCGCCCGCCAATTGTTGAATTTGAAATGCAAGCAAACGACTTTTAACGCATCGAAGTTAGAAAAGTAAAGTACGAGAAAGCGCCTTGTATTATCTGAAAATTAAAAACACTAATTAAATAAAGCCTTTAAAGAGCTCTGCTAATTACTTTTAGTACTGCGACCAGCGTAACGCGAAAATACTTTAGGCCAGTTAAGTAAAATGGACGTGAGTTTATCTCGATGGCCATTGTGACTAGCTTCATAAGTTTTACATTCTCCTGCGCATTGCTCGACTTGTAGATCACCTGCTCCCAGTCACAGCAGTAGTACATGACACTTAATTGATCCGTCTGCGAAATCAATTCAATAATAGTATTAAGTATAAAGCAGGCCAAACGGAACGCACCGTTGCATAGAGAATCGAGCCGAGCATGCCCAGGGCCAGCAGCTCACAGAATTTGGCTGTAAACCAAACGATATACACAATATTACCCGCTGGGTTCTAGAGAAAGAAGGGTAAGTGTCTCAATTTATTATTAGGCATTTTATACCCACCGTATAAGCCTTGAAGCCCATGGCACAGAGTAGCGCAGCGCTGAAGGCAAACATTATGAATATACGAAAACTGAATTCCAGCTCCATTTGCTGGCCAAAGCGATTCAGAGCAGCATTTCGACGCAACATTTCGATGAGTGCACAACGATATTGAGCTGCAATTTTAGCCGGTTGTCCATGCTCCAGCAGCACTTTAGCCACCTGCTTCAGATCCCGGCCGAGCAGCTCGTAGCGAGCATTCAGATGCATCATCAGCTCGCCCAGGACATTCAGTTCGCCGAAGAGCATCGAGGTAATTATAATGCCCACCCAGTAGTTGGCACAGAGCAGGGGTATATAGTACTGCAGCTTTGTATTGTCAAAGATATACACCTGCTGGTAGAGCATCTCTCGTCGGTGGTATATAATATTCTGCACGGGCACCAGCGAGAAATTGAACATTGCCATTAAATATACAACCGAGTTGAGACGCGTGCCCAGCATCTGCTTTTGGATGCGTGCAAATCTCACTGGCTCCGATTCCTGGGTCAAATAGATGTCCGCATAGAATTTCTGCAGCAGGTGCTTGAACGAATCCTTCGTAAGGGCCAGCTGAAAGCCGCGTATCTGCATCTCGAACAGCACCAGATATGTCGGCACGCCCGTCAGCATCTTATCAATATCGTTGCGATTGGCCAGCACATAATGCATGTCCACCTCGTTGTGCTCACAAAATATGATGAATCCCACAAAGATTAGCAGCCGCTCTATGAACACCATACGCCGACTGGCCCCATCCTCCAGCGGCCAGGCAATATGGTTGAGGCGACGGTACATGGCCACCGGCCAGGGCAAAGGCGCAGCCTTTCCATCTCGGAGTCGTGGCTGATAGCGCATGGCGGCGGTGCTTTGCCGATTGGACTCTAATCCACCCAAGACTCGTATCCACCTGTATTTATACCTGACAAACTAATTAATAAGGACTTAATTGCAGTTTAGAACTAAATTGCACTTAAATAGACATTCATTATTCACGATTCGTATTCATAGTTGACGTTTGCTTTGAAATGGTCATGAAAACAATAAGCAATATTATCTGTATTTATTATTAATGTCAAGGAAACTAATTAATGAATTAAAATTTAAAAACCTCTTTTTAATTTCTCTTAAAAAGTTTTAATTTATTTTTTGTTTTCTATGAACAATAAGAAGGCAAATTTATCTTCGGCACGCCGAAGATTAAATACCCTACATGAATAGCCATATCGCAACAAGGTGGGATTTATAGAGAAGCTTAATTTGCCACCGATTGTTCCTATAGGCGATATGGGTTATAGTAGATCGGTTTGATATACATTAAAACAAAAACAAAAACTCTAGACTTGCAAGGCCTTGTCCTGAGTCCGCAACTATAACCACTTGAGAATTATAAGCAAAAAAAAAAGACGATGAAGCTAGCCAAACCAACATTAACTAATGCCAAACAGGTCACTAAAAGCATTTGGTCTCAAGAACTTCGTTTTTAACCTATTATTTCTATAGCAGCTATATGATATAGGGATTCGATCTGGCCGACCCCGACAACAACATTATGGACTTATGCAAATATTCATTGGGCTAGCATTAAGAGTAGCTTGCTTAGAAACAGACAGGCGGACTTGGTTATATCCACTCAGCTGATACTGATCAAGAATAAATACATACTCTTAGGAATGTCTCTTTTGATGCGTTACACATTCCGAGAGCCTATTATAATACCCCTTAAAAGGGTATAAAAGACTTATCCGCATGAAGTTCAAACCTCAGACTTGCTGCTTAGTCGCGTTAGGAAGTCCTTCGATGCGATATCAAGAGAAAATTATAATACCCCAGGGCATAAATAACTATTCCACATGGAAGTCCATTCAGTTTTTAACAACAAGAGACCGAGTTTGAACCATCAGCCGGTGCTATTTAATAAAATTAATAATAAATTTCGAGCAGTAAATTGAATGATTTTGTTTAATTTATTTTGATAATTGGATTTATATATATAGTAATTGCCATTTGGTATGCTTTGGTATGTATACGTATTTAAAAAATATGCACAATTCGATAAACTAAATTTAAGTTTTCTAGAATTTAATGCGTATTGCACGGATCTCTCTATATACTTACTAGCTCGGGGTGCTCGGTTAGTATATAATAGTTCATGCTTGATTATGTTTATAATACTGGGCTACCGAAAACACATATTTAAATACACAAGTATATATGCAAATTTCAAATGCTTTCATTATTAGTTTATTTGTAATTAGTTTTTGATTTTGTATCGTATTTGTTTTTGTTGCTGGCGAGCGCTTTCATACATTTTCGGAATTGAGCTCCACTTCCACTCCACAAGGATCTTAGAACATCGAGAATCTCAATGGGAAAAGAGTTGCACGTACTAGTTCGTTTATATATATATATATGTATATATGGATTTATATTGTTATACACAGTTAGGTTTTGCTAGTTATATCATATTTAATGTTTGTTTGTCTGTCTCCATGTTTCTATTTGTTTATATCGACTGTCTACGTAGATCGGAACTTAGTTGGCCAGCGAGCGCTTGCCCCAGCCCGCGTGCAGCTTCTGCCATTGATCGCGCTTGCCCCACATGCCCTTCAGATTGTTCCAGGTGGGCTCGCGCTTGCCCCAGGCACCACGGAACTTGTTCCAGCCCTGCGCCTGTCGTCGCTTGCCCCAGGCCACGTTCATGTTCTTCCAGGCGCGCTTATCGATTGTGTTCTCAGCGCTCAGATCCTCCGACTCCTCATTGGACTGTGCCGGCTGCTGTTGCTGCTGCGGCCGCTGCTGCTGCTGTTGCTGCTGCTGCTGCTCCTGGTTGCCACTGGCCAGACGCTCAAAGGTGTTCCAGTCGATGGTGTTGGTGCCGTCGGTTATGACCAGCGGCACAAAGTGTCCCGTCATATATATGGAATCATCCACTTCCAGGGGACGCGGCTCATTGGAGCGCTTGCCCCAGGCGCTCTGCAGCGATTGCCAGGCGCGTTTGTTGTTGCCGTAGAGCTCATTGTCGTCCAGCTGCTCCAGCACCTGGTCGGACAGACCTGTGGCGGCCAGCTCATTGTTGTTGTTGCCACCGCCGCCGGCGGAGGCCTGACTGCAGCTGGTGCGGCACCAGAGCAGCAGCAGCAACAGGGCCATGCTGTGTGTCCCACAGACGCAGCTCTTCAACTGAACCATCCTCCTGGCGAAGTAGAGAAAAGAGAAAAAGTATAAAAATTTAAAAAGTGTCTAAGGAATGCGTGCAGCAAGTAAGTTAAAGCCGAATTGGGCATGCTCCCAGGGGGCACTGCGGGTGCTTTGTTTTATTTTCTTGCTGGCAATCATTTCCGCCCACGCCTCAAATTACAGCAACAAGCGTAACGATTTAGCTAAATAACCACTCTAATTGAAAGGCGATGGGGCGGCCAGGCCGGGCAGGCCGGGCAGTCGGAGGCGGCACTCAACTCCCGACGGTGGCCAAAAGTTCAGTGTCAGGCCAAATGCCAGCCTGCTGTGTTAAAAGCCAACAACGCATAACAGTTACAATTTATGGCCTATTAATGTGCTGCTCTGTTGCAAGTTCCTGAGGTAGCACGCGGCAGGCGGTAACAAGTGCGATGATAATACGCATACGCCACGTAGTACGCACAACCTGGCAAGTGCTGCACATGTGTGTGTGTGTGTGCGTGCACTCATCGTGCTTCAAAACGCTATAATGATAGCAAAGCTTATGGCCATGTTTGCTGAACAACTTAAGTGGCTGCGAATTGCACTTGCGGCCACTATAACCACCCCTGCACCACCCCCGCACCGCCAAGCAACACTTGGCAAGAAAAGACAATGCGACGCTAAGCGGCTTCGCATTCTGTTTGCACTTGACGCTAAAGACGTTGAACTTATGCGTTTGCATGGATATGAAATACTTAATCGCATAACACTTATGAGTTCAGCAAGAGAAATCAGTTGAGTGCATTTTTGAGCACGTGAATACTCTGTGGATGCTCTTTTCTGTGAACTTAGCCCACATTATACAAGAAATGTTTAAGTTCTAGCGAGGTTTCTTAGTCTAGATCGATCAAAAGTTAAGTTCTACTATGACAAACATTTATGTTTTTCAATATATATATTAGCAAAACTTGACGGTTGCGAGTTCTACCATCAAAATCAGACTATTATATCATATCAGTCTATATATGGGATCGCTCGAAATTTTATAATACATATATGGGATCGCTCGAAATATTATTTCTTTCATGGAAAACCTTTCTGGTTTTCAAGATAAGTTCTACCGTGCTGTCTACATATAGACAAAATGTTATCTTTCTCTCTCTCTCTCTCTCTCTCTCTCTCTCTTTCTCTCTCTTTCTCTCTCTTTCTCTCTCTCTCTCTCTCTCTCTCTCTCTATCTCTCTCTATCTCTCCCTCTCTCTCTCTCTCTCTCTATCTCTCTCGCTCTCTCCCTCTCTCTCTCTCTCTCTCTCTCTCTCTCTCACTTTCTCTCTCTTCATAAAATCGGTCGAATAAGCTCGAAGTTCTTGCATGGAAAACCTTTCTGCTTTTCCAGATATCTTGACCTAGCTCAGCATTTCCTTAATACTTCTAACATATACACAACACTCTAATAAATTAGTTTACTTTATTAAATGACTTCAACAGGAATAAACGGTAGAAAGTTTAGCTTTTGCATAAAAGTACTCCTATGTCATATTTCTATAAGGGTATTCCATCTTCGACGTACCGAAGATAATCTCTCTTTTCTGGCTTTTCTTAGTAGATGAGCAAGTGCTTCGGTTCGGTTAGTGAACAAAGTTTTTCACATTCATGCAAGATTATATACGCCATTTAAGAAAGATTATAAGCCATTTAAAGAAATTAAACAAATACAAAAGCTGGGGCAGACCCCAGACCCTGAGATCCTAAAAACGTAAATAAATATACTATATGCAAGTTACATGAAACCAAAAATAATCATATTCACTAATTATTTTCTCATCTTTTTTAAGCAAAAACATTTTTGCAAAAAATATCAAAATTTAAATTAATATCAAGCATTTAAAAAAAATATGTTCTAAAATCTTTGATTATTTGATCAAATGTTTTTAAAATGTTTGGATACTCGACTATATTTTAGAAATATTCTTTTCGAGCGAGCTTTGCTAAATTTGATTCCCCTGCGTTGCGTTCGTTGTGAATCTCTAAAAAGTTGTGCGAGCCAACTGCCAACTGAATTTGGACAACATTTGCAATATCCTTTAGCTGGCTAATTAAGCCCGTTACAAAGCCGCCAACACAGAAATGCTTTTTGAGAGGTACAACAAATAAATCATTACAGACCACAAGAGTCGAAAGCAGTTAATAGTCCAGACCCGAGAGCAGGCCAGAGCAGGGTGCCGACCAGATGGGGGCCGTATCGGTATCTAATCTGGGCGGGCGGCGATTAGATGATGCTACACTTTGTTGCTTTATGTGGGAATCGAGAATTGGAAAGTTAATTGGAGGCGGAGGCGGGGGCGGGGGGCAGAGGGGGGGTGGCCAATTGCAGTTGGCCAATCTGGTGGCGCTTGACTCTTGACTGATTGTCCGTTTGGGTGGTTTTATGTTGTCTTACTTTGCATTTAATTTGTGCGCTTGTCGTTGATTGATTGACGCCCAGATGAAAGTTTTAGCGGCTTTGCGTTAAATTATAATAGATAGCTCCGCCGCCTCGATAGGGCACGCATCAAATTTTATGACCACACACACACTCGAGCCGGGCCAGAACCGGACCAAAACTGGGCCAAAAGCAGCAGCACGTTTCGCGCCAGCTTGTAATTGAAATTAACTGAAAATATTTATGGCCGTGCTAAAGTCTGACATGCCAGCGAATTGCGAATGCGGGCCAGATCGAATTCCGGGCCCAGTCAACTGTATTATTCAGCAGCGCCTCTGCGCCTGTCCAGGCATTATTCATGGCTCTGTCGCCCGGTGACAAGTACAGGTACTTTGGGCCACCGAGCACATCCTTAACAACAGCTCCCCGAAAATATATATATAAATATATTTATATGTATGTATGTATACAACGCATTTCGCGAAACATTAAACATTTTGACGGGGGCGTGTATTTCTTTTCGTGGCGCCTTCTCAAGCAGGCTCCAACGCCAATATTTGCCAAAGGATGCCATTCGCCTATAAGTATTTTGTTTAAATAGGCGCGTCCTCCCACGTTCGACGACTGTCATTTGAATAAAAATCATCGCCTCAACACGACGTTGAAAACTCGTGAATCAACAAAATATCCACAGAAGTGCAAATAAATTTGCCATCGAGTGCAGAGAGAAACTTGGGTGTGCTCAGATTGGGTCTTCTTCTGTTTTGCATAACCCCCCAACTTGTTCCCCCCTGCCCCCCTGCTCCCCTCTAAGATGCCAGTGCATATGTTACGCATGCGATGCCTTCATTTTTTGACTGCCTAATAATTCAATTTCGAATGCGCCCGGCGTTTGTTTAAGCCAACGAAAAACTCGTCTATTATAAAGTGGTAAACATATTTACCCCAACCGCCTAATGGCGGCTTTAAATATTTGAAATGGGTTCTACTCTGCTAATACCTAAGTAAATTCAGTTCAGTAAATTGTTTTTTCTGTTGGTATTGAACAAAGTGCGTTGAATGTGTAAAGCGAGTAGAGTATAAATAACAAATTGCTGAAAATAATTTCAACTTGTTTTCCTGAGAGTAATAAATATGAAAGTGGTTTTTAAGCAAGAATTGATTGGAAGTTTTTATAATATAATAATACATTATTATAAATAATTTCTTAAATAAATTATATTATTATATTATTATTTATTTAATATAAGTATTATATATTTCCCACTTATATTTTCCCTACTCGAGAAAGGTTTTTTCATAAACAAATATCATTGAATATAAAAATATACGTTGTAAGCAATATTAAATACTAATGAAAAAAAAATGTTTATTTATATTAACGCTTAAGGATTAATTTTTTTGTATTGAACTAAGTAGTTTTTTCTCTTATCCCATGCGCAAAAAGGTCTTTAAATGATTTTTCTTTTATATAATTTATATAATAAATTTATATAATAAAAAATGCACATTTAGGAAAAAGTTTCTTAGCATTAAATGTTCATTTTTTAATAATGTAATTACGAAATATTACATTAAATATGTTTTTGTAATGCCTAAGTGGCTTTTCCAATTTTCACATGGTCAAAAACATGTTTAGAGGGTTTTTCCCTTTTAAATATAATTAATTAGCATTTTTTTAACACTTACTGAATATTAATTAGGTTTAATATTATTTGTATTCACATGCACAAAAACGGCATAAAATGTGTTTTGCTTTTCTAATCTAATATTATTGAAATATAGAATAATTTTTATCAACATTTTGAAGCACCAACTGAATATTCGTTGGGAATTAATTTATTTTTTTTGTGAGACTTTCCCTATTTGCACCTGCACAAAAAAGGGTTTTTATCATAATCAACTCACCTGTCTGTAGTTATTTTATTGTATTTGATTAACAGGAAACGTTCTTTTGGTTCCGTTTCTGTGGTCGCTGCGCTGAGTACTATATCGCGAAACTGCATACGCGCGCGTCCCTGTTTTTATTTGTATCTGCTTTTTTTTAATATTGTATATATTTGTGAGTTATGCACGTGAAATTACTTTTATAACTAAATTTGTGGTGCCGTTGGAATTCAATTAGTGCACAAATAGGCCGACTGCAACGGACTGCGGCAGCGAACTCTTGTGCTTTGCTAGCTACTGTTCTGGCCGGGATGTCTGCGCAAACCTGTTGATCAACTGTTAATGATACGCAGAACGGTCGCGACGGCCGTTTATAAATCAAAACGGAAGCGAATCGTGGCAGACACGAGCGTTGCGCACGAAGCAGATACGCACACAGATAGACACAATGGGCTGGCATTGTGGCCAGTTGGCGGTTGCAGCCGACGGAAGTGGCCGAAAACTGTTGCCTACTTAGCGGGGCAGCCCCTCCCGCTGTCCCGCTGTCCCGCTGCCCATGCCCATTCCCATTGTCCCGCTTAACGAAGTGCTGAAGTTGTTGGCACACATGCGCGCCTTTGCAATGTTTATTTGCCTTCCCCCGGGAAATGCGACAAGCACACACACACACACACATGCTCGGACTCATTCAAATTCATATGCATGCTCCATTTGATTTCGTTGGCACCTTAACCTAACCCCCCCTTTTGGTGCTTGGGCTAAGCCAACGCCCATGCTGACCTTTAATATTAAACATGTTGTGTGCCCGAAAACGCGCTGCCACTCAACGTTGGCAAATGCAATTGCATTTCTTGTGGCCACCACAAGATTGGACGCTTCGAATACAATATTTTTTCCATTTGGAATCAATTGACACTGCACGTGTGACCCGGGACAGAGACACACCTAAGCATCTGGCACAAGTAAAAACCCTTTTAGAGCTTCATGAATATTTATGAACGCGAGAGCCGTCGCTTTCTTTCCTTTCGTTTTTTTTTTTCTGCTTCTTGCAACACTTCAATTCCCTTTCAAAAATGCTTCTTCAATTACGACATGAACGCAACCTTTGATACGGACAGGTGTGTGACTGAGTATGTGTGTGCGTGTATGTGTGTGTCTGTCTTTTGGATATCAACAGGTTTTCATTTGTGCCATTTGATAGCCACTCCGGTTGAGGACGCCAAATAAACGATGATGGGAATATTTATGACACTGCCAATGCTACCGGTGCGTATAATGAATGGGTTATGCAGGGAGCACACCGAACATGGCAAAGCGCACATCGCTCTATTGATAAGGCCCTTACGTAGTTACTAATTGATTTTGCCACTGATAAATTGGTTCGGAATAATGTTATCTAGCTGTAGACAGCTACATGTGTTTTCTGTGTTTTGCTTTTTGTTGTTGCAATTGTAAATCATTTACATGGAAAATAATATTTGGCTTTGGCCTAATTGCTGCCATCCTAAAAACATGATGAAATTAAGCCATTAACTGGAAATCTCTTCAATGGACTTTAATGGATATACAATAAAGTTGCAGCAGCCATGCACTGTTGCACGCGTTGAAGCCCCGCTTGTTGACCAACCAACTGTTGACCCCGCACACAAACATATTTACTCTTTAGAAAGGACACATTTCTATAGGAATACCCTTGGCGCTTTCATTGTAAGATGAAGTACTAGACGCTGTTGGCAGCTAATAATAATTTGTTTGCACTTTGCATATGCCAGCTGGCAGCAGAAACCAATCAGAAAATGTGGGACGCAGATTCTTATGAATATGTATGCAGATATTACTATTGAATAGCTGAGGGCATTTATGACATTTTCAATTATCCAACATTGCACTGTCAAGTACTTTCATGCATAAATCGAATAGCTTACAATAACTCATAACTATTTGAAATTTAAAAATTGTTTTCATCAATGCAATTACAAAATGATTTTAAATTGGCTCTGTCTTGTTTTTAAAATGCCGCACTTTGCTTCCTTAAAAAAGCTCACTGCTATAGTACTCACGATTTTATCGATAAGTTACCACAGCACATATCTAGAGTCTAGACTCGCATCTCTAGATGACATGCAAACCGGCTGAAAAATGAAGAAAAGTGCTTAATGTTTTGTTAAAAACTAATTGATTTATGTGAACTTTTTGGTAAAAAGTGCTCGCAATGGACATTATATTGCCAGAGCAGTATAATGAACAAAAGTTTCTTGACTGCGCCTCACAAATACAATATGACGAGTTCAACGCGGTAAGTACAAGAAATTTTCACTTAAATCTTTCTGCTATGGCTATTTTTGTTTGTGGTAGAAAATGTTTGTTTTCTTCGCGAACTACAGCGATGTAGACGTCTACCAGCTGATACCAGATGACCGCATTCTGCAATTAATCTACGGCTGGGATGTGTGCCGACTGCACACCCGCGAGTGCATCACAGAGGAGCTCGGCCACATTGCCCGGGTGCTGGCGCATCATACGCTGCACTTGTGGTTTAGCCAGGAATGGATGGGCAGCTCTGAAAGCCTGAAGCGCATGCTGTTGTACTATCTGAGCAAAGGCTATAGGGCGTTTAACAAGATTAAGGGACTCTGCGATATCGATTGGCAGTATTTACTCAACTTCCAAGTCAATCCCTGGCGTCTACCTTATCTGCAGCAGCTCTTTGCCAACCTAATACAGAATAAACATCATGTGATAGAGCACGCTGTGCAGCCCGCATCGGCAGAAGGTGTGTTTGGCTGGATACTATATACTGATGTTATTTTAATGCATGCACTTTGTGTTCCCAGATGAAACATATCTAATGCAAGAGCGTCTAGATCTAATTATTCTACGTCTACTGAAACTGTTCGATGCCGGCAGCTGGGAAGCTGTTAAGCAGTTTTCACTGCGTGTGCTCGCCGCCTGGTTGAAGTGCAATCCCAGAGTCTCCACCGCGAGCCTGCATCCTGAGCAAAAGAGTATTATACTGGTGGGACATTTCTATTTGCTCACAGTTTTTGTAGCGGACGATAATCGTGGTTATATGATTGATAATATGGTGCGTAATCAGATGTCATACAAATTTGTGTTCAATGCTTACAAATAAATTCTCTTTTGAAGATGTACAACATACGATTCTACGCGCAAAGCATGCAAGATGCGTCAAATGCGGAGGCCATGGCTTACACTCCAGCTAGGCTAATTGCCCAGGTTTGTGTGCGTCTGGGCCTGGGCAAGGATGGCTTCTTTGAATATATTGTGTTTAAAAACTTCAATTTGAGCCTGGTCACCTCATTCGCTGTTATGCTGGAAGCCTACACCAGCTACGTGCTGGGCAACCAGCTGCTGGAACTGATGGCACTCAATGAGCATGATTTCATGGCGCACATGGCGCAGTTCAAGGTGCTGATGCATCGCTATGTAGAGGAGCGCGAGAACAGCGAGCGTTTTCTGCTCAATGAGCTGCAGAAGCTGGAGTCGCAGCGCAATAGTCACGCGCTGCCACACACAGTTAATCTGAATCTGAACTACCAACAGCAGATATGCAAGGGCAATCGTGCAAGCAACATTGGAAACTATAAGAACTGCGACGATGATGAAAAGCCGTTGCTGGATGTTGATGAGGAACTCGACAGGCAAATAGATCCAGTATTTCAGAATGTGCCCAACAACGAGGAGGTGCTGGAGTTTGTATACAATTTGTTGGCTCAACGTGTAAGTTTCTGACTGTTGTTCTTCCTGGCAAAATCCATGTTAATCTGTCTTTCGTGTTGCAGAAATTCAGGGGCTGGCAGTTTGCCAAGATTGCGTTGCTGCTGAAGATAATTGGCCAGAAGCTCAACACAATTGAAGTCTGGCGCTATCATCCTGGCCTGACCACTCAATTTATGCTAAATTTGGAGCATAAGCTCTCTGACAACTATGCCGATTTGGCCAAGGTGTTCACGGAGCATGGCTTCATGGAGGCTGAGTTTTGGCTGACTGCGTTCTATTTGCATCCAACACGCAGTAGTTACTGTGAGGTGAAACGCTGCTCGCGCATCAAAAAGAAACGCAAGGACGAGGATGAAGTAGTCTCCAGCAGAGCAGCGGCACGTGCCGAGAAAGTGGATCACATCAAATACGAGCTGTTGAGTTCAACGATAGATGTCGATGAAATTGTTGCCATTACCAATCACAATGCGCCCGTGGCCGACTATGATCCTGTCTATAAGGCGCTGCAAACCCTGCGTCTGCCGCGCAGCATTCTCAAGGACCTCCTGACAGTTGCCTTCCAACCACGCAACAAACGCTATTCCTGGGCGCTAGAATGGAACACTTTGCACAAGCGCTGCAGCAGCCTGCTGAAGAGCGCAGATCTTAAGCGAAAATTTGTGGCTCTGAATATGGCCGAGGCTAATGATGATCTGAAGTTTTTGAAAATCGATTATGAAAAGTATAAAAATCGGCCTCAATTAGACTATGGCACCATCGAAGAGGGTTACGAGAACGCCGTCAGCACAGCTGAAGCGGAGGTTGAATTGAGCATTGATGAAGATGAAGAGGCTGCGAAGAAAGCAGCACGCGAAAAAGCAGAGAAAGATAGAAAACGCTGCCGAATACCGACCAAGTTCTGGGAGGAGGGTAAACATGAAGCTAAATACAATCTTATGTGATTAACTAGATGATCCCACTTTTACTTTCAGTAGTCTCAGAAGATGAGGACGAGGAGGAACAGGAATCTGACGAATCGGAAGCCTATTACACAGGCACGGGGCGACGCACTCGCGTTCGCGCCGCTGCACTAATGGCCAGTGCCATGATCTCCGACATGGACAGGACCATGCGCAGTGGTCGTCGTTCGCCTGCAGCTCTTACAGCAACTGCTGTTGCCGAGCTGACAGCGGAACCGCCACCACCACCAGAAGAGCCGCATTCGGCGCTAGAGGCTACGACGTCGCAGCCGCCGCCGGATGAACCAATCCAGCAAAGGCGTTCGTTTGGTGAGCTGCTGCAGTCGCAGGCCAAGTACACAAACCAAACCAGCGGCTTTAAAGCTTTCGCTGACATTTGGAGCTTCGAGAAGGACGAGCAGATAAGCGTAGAAAATGACGACAATGTGCTTATGGAGAGTAATACGCTGCTGAGCAAGTTCAGGAGCTTGCAGGGACTGAGACGGAGCACAACAGCCACAGCAACAGTCGATAGTAATACCCATTCACGGGCACTCGAGACGGAAACACCACTGGAATTTTGTAGGGTGGCGCGTACCACTAGCCCTTGCGACAGTGAGGCGGACAGCTTGCAGTCTGGAACATCTACGATGGCCATGCACGATGCCAACGAGTTCGACGAGGGACAATATGAAGCTGTATCTGGCGTAAGTAAAGAGTTAACGCCCCCGCCGGCGCCAACGTCTGATTTTACTATGGAGACAGAAGTGTTGCAGCTCAGAGGAAAGTTTCTGACCAGGGATGAGGCACTGCCGTCTGCAGGGACAGCGAAGGTGCAGACGATGACGACAACTGAAGCAGAGGCGGAACCAGCAGAGAAACAGCCCGAGGAATCGTCATGCAAACGAATCAAAACCAAGCATGACCCAAGTCCCGAAACCCACATTGATGAGCAGAACAAAACCGAAGGGGCACCCGAGGGATCTGTACACACGGCAATAAGCCAAGTTAATGCACGACTAGTCGAGGAATGTTTGACGCGCCAGGCAGAGGTGCGTCTGGACATGCTTACATTACAGGATATTGAAAAGCTACGCGGACTTCGGGTGCGTGTGAAGCGCACCAATTTTCTTGACTACTTTCGCGAAAAGAGAATGCAACGCGATCGCAGCAGACCTACGTCGAGCAGCAAGCACAGCCACACCCACACCGAAGACAGCAACGCCTCGACGCCGACATCGGAGCTGCAGAGCGGCATCAGCAAAAGTCAGAAGCGTTTCGTGCATATAACATCCGATTCGGCTGCACCGTCGACACGAGTGATGTTGGCCAAGCCGCGCTTGAAGCAATTCAAGCGCTTCAAGCACGTTACTTCCGACTCCTCGACCTCTACCGATCCCGAGGAGACGGCACGTCCAGCCTCGATGCTTCGACGACGACGTGGTCACAAGTGGAGCCAAGCGAAGAGCAAATCTATTCATTTAAAGTCACAAAAGGCCAAGCATGTGACCGGCGATACGGATGTCATAGAGCTCTCCTCGGACTCGCTGTCGTCGTCCGTATCGCCAGTGCCTGTGACTGTGAGGCATTTTCCGGTGATGGTTGTGCCATCGGAATTGGATCCACTCTATGAAGAGGAAATTGTTCCCTTCTGAAGATGGCAGACATTTGCTTAGCTGGTGCTGTTTTGGTCTCTCGCTTTGCCCGGGGCTACGTGCCTGAAACGAATGCAGTCGGGGTTGCATGCCGCACACACACAAACACACACGCACGTACGTACACGCACAGCGGGGCAGGGAGATTGGGCACACAGGCAGCTTGGAAAATTGAATTTGCGTCGCTTGTTAGAATGCAATTTGCCCAGGGCATATATTTGATGTGTATGTGTATTTGCTTTGGCTCGGACTGTGTTAGGATGTTTGATGAAATTATATATGTACAGAAGTCCGCAGACAGGGACTAAGCCATGTTGGCTTTTATTTGGTTAACGCGACTGTGACGCTGCCTCGAGGCTCTTTAAACCGGCTGTGTAAGTGTGAGTGTGACTGTGTGTGTGCGTGTGCCAGCGTGAGCGTGAGTCTTGGGCGACAATTGTTGAGAAAACGAATGCAGCTTCCATAATAATTCACATACTTTCCCTGCAAACCTAATAAGCGCTCACACTTCAATTAACTGTATAATTGATACGCATTATGCTTACTCCCAAACCTCAATTAGCCACACGCGTCCGGTCGGCGGCTGCCACTTGAGCTGTTTCGGGCGTAACCAATAACAAAATTGACAACAAAAACAACACACACCACACCCGACACGTGTCGCGTGGTGTGAATTTTGATGGTAACATTATTATTGTGTTAAAAACCATAAATCCGACTAGAGGCCGTGTTGATAATCCTAAAAACCATTGACTAAATTCAATAATAATCAACTGTTTTCTGGCGTCTCTCTGGGGATCTCAAGATGTATTAAATGTGTGACCAAAAATGTAAATAAACTATAACTAATATTGACATCTATATTTTAATGTATATATTAATATTTTAATTAACAGAGTTAGCAGAAAACACGAGTTACAATCGGGTGAAATTGACCGCGCAATAATATGTCGACAGTGTAATAACAGCTTAAAAGAGGTCAGAGGCAATTTCATTATAGGAATACTTTTGGCCCTCTAAGACTGTAATCCACTGGAGAAAACTCTAAAATATTGGCGATCACACATCTACGGAGTCTTTGTGAGTTACTTATGTTCCGATATCTATTTTATTAGAAGATTTTTTATTAAGATTTTATATTAACATTTAAACCTTTCAAAAGCGGGGGTATATTTTATTATAGCAAAATGTAGATAAAAGTGCAACCCTTCCTATCCTTTGATGAATATCATATCGTAGGCGGTATTAATAATTTGTCACGAACGTATAGAAAAAGATATCCGAGTCCATAAAGAATATATATTTTTAATCAGTCTTATCCATGAAAGTAAATATAGTCCCTTAGGTTTGAAACTACCGTCACTAAGTTTTCTATAGGTCCGTCATTCTGTTACGGGAAATATATATGGCGACATGGGCCAGATCGACTTACTATATCAGAGAGCTCACGTAGGAGTGATCGGATAATAACTTCTTGTACGAAAAATCTTATTTATATGTCAAGATATCTTAGCCAATCTTGTCAATTATAAGTTCTGGCATTTTTCCCACATGTGAGCCAAATCTTATCTACATCGGACTGCCATATCTTAGAAACAATATATTCTGGATCAAAATCAACAGCCGAGTTGATATAAGCATGTCCGTCTGAATATCTGTCTGTTCGTCTGTCTGTTTTAATGCGAACAAGTCTCTCAGTCTACAACTTTTCATAAGTCCGCATTTCTCTAGCAGGACTATATAGGACTATATCATGTAGCTGCCATAGGAATAATCGGTCGAAAAGTAGGTTCTTGTATGTATGTATGTTTTTTAAGATATCTGCATCAAACTCGGCATTTAACAGTTTCACTATGCTCCTTACATATGTATATATAAAATTCTATCAACATCGAACCACTATAGCGTATAGCTCGTATAGCCATAGGAAAGATCGGTCGAAAATTAAGTTATTGTATAACAAACTTTTCTGTTTATCAAGATATCCCAACCAAACTTGGAATTTACAACTTCTAGCATGTTCTTCAGATATGAGCCAAAAAAAAAAAAAATCGGTCCAACTATGAGTTTTTGTATGATAGAGACTTTATTTTCTTCAAAAAATCTTTATTAAAGTCAGCAATGAATTCTCCTCGTTATATTAATTTTCACATATCCGTATAACCATCAGCCATATTTCTACTAGATTTTTAAATAGTCAGCGTGCTGAAAAGCCCCGTTCTATTTTGGTTTTTTTTTTTTGTTCTAATGGACTTGTATATATGCCCTCAACTCACTAACAGGCTGGTAAGGTCCGGAACTTGGTTGTTTGAGTGTCATATATACAAGCAACTGTCATCAATTGGATCAATTAGCATCCTTTGCCCTTTAAACTAAGCAAAATTGTGTCATTTTGGCATTAATTTATTAAGTGCTCACTCGTGTCAACAATTTACCAGCAATGGGAGCACATATCATAACAAACCTGCACGTGGCAATTGGGAAGCGGCAAGCGGCAGCCACTTAAAGCTGCAATCCCAACCGCATTCGTGTATATCTTGGGCGCAACGCCAGCCACTTGAGCCAGTTGTGAAGTGGCTCATGCCACAAGCTCTCCAGCCCAATTCGGTGGCACGTGCCGTCGCGTGGGCCCTGGGCGGGAGTATTTGTGGCATCTTTACAGAAGTGTCGGCCACGTGGCGGTAATTCGTTTAGCGACAGGCGTAAGCCCGAAATGAATATTGCGGTTTAAGTTTAAAAGAAAGAGTTGCGAGCTGCGAGTTGCAATTGATATTAAGTGGACACTAGATTTACCACAATCAATGTTGCGACAGAGGCGGACTGATAAGAGAGAGTGCATGCCGCTTTGAACTCTGTCGCTGATCCTCGCAGCCAGACGAGACCAGCGAGATAGACAGACAGAGAACTCATCCTTCCGATTGGCTTACGTTCATGCGTAAAAAATGCTCGTGTTTTAACTGGCACTGGTAGCTGCTGGTGTGCGTGTGTTTGTGCCTGTGTGTGTATCTGCGTCTGTGTCTGTGTGTGTGGGTAAAGCAACCCCCTGGGCTAGAGCGAACGGCAATCACGGCGCGCATATCTTTTGGGATTTGTGCCATGGCGCCGCCATCGTCGCGACCGACGACAATGCGCCGAGGGTTGTTGCCGCCTAAATCAGCGGGCTTACTGGGCAGCTCTGCCGTTCTGTGGCTCTGGCTCGCACTAATGGCTGAACATAAAACCGGTGCGCACTCCTGTTCAGCTTTTAGTTGGTGCGGGCACGCGAAACGGTTAAGGCTACAAAAAAAAAACACACACACACGAGCGGAATGCGTCTGGTTTGACATTTAGAGAGACAGGCACAGATACAGCTACAGCTACAGCTATAGACAACCACAGCTACCCACGCCGAGCTCAACATGTCCGCCTGCTACAACGCGTACAATCCGACGCAATCGTTTGAGTTCGAGGAGGATGATGATGATGATGCCTCCTTCGATAGCGGCTACGAGAAGAGCTTTGAAACGATTGCGAATGCGAGCTCACGGCGTCGTTTGGACTTTGCGGAGCACTATAATAGCACGGCTAATGCCAGCGGCACGCCGCCGGGTCAAGCTCAAGCGCCGCTGTTGTATGCCGGCACCTGGGATATGCAGCTGAATTCGCCGCCAGCGACAACGGCTGGCTTTGTGGGTCTGCTGGACAACAGCAGCAATCACAGCACGCGCAGTGGACGCACTCTAGTGGAGCATCTGAATAGTCGCGCCGCAACGACGGGCGGCTTTGAGCCGCAGCTGACGAGCACGCCGGTCAAGTCGCCGGAGGATCCGAATGCGCCGCGGCCGAAACGCAAATATGCCGTCGGCAAGAATCGTGTCACCCGTTCGCGCAGTCCGCTGCAGGTGGTGCGCATCAAGAAGTTTCGGCGCATGAAGGCCAACGATCGGGAGCGCAATCGGATGCACACGCTCAACGATGCGCTGGAGCGGCTGCGCGTAACGCTGCCCTCGCTGCCGGAGGAGACCAAACTGACCAAGATCGAGATACTGCGCTTTGCGCACAACTACATCTTTGCGCTGGAGCAGGTGCTGGAGAGCGGAAACACCATCAATCTCGACTTGGAGAAGCTGCAGAACTTTACGCTGAGCGGCGAACGCATAACCAAGGAGCTATTCGATGCGCTCTTTGTGAATCCGCAGCCGTTTCCCATGTTCGGCAGCGGCCGCATCTTTCCCTACGGGCCACATCATCAGACTCCGCCAGCGATGCACTATCAGCCAGCTCAGGGCGAAGACTATCAGACGGCACAACCACCTGGTTTTGATCTGGGCAGCAGCATGCGCTACTACCAACAACAACAGCAACAGTCGCAACAGCCGGAGCTTAGTCCACAGCCCACAGCTTCAGGTCAGTTTTCCCAAGAGAAATACGATCTGTTTCGCAGCAACTTCGAGGCAGCTGCCAATGGAACGCCATTGTCAGAGCCGGGTCTGCATCAGCAGAGCAGCTTCTATACGCAAACGCCGCCCTGGAAGGATTACCAGGAGGATCAGCAACTACTCTACAAACAGTTTACCCACCAGGTATAGCATAGTTTTGCGGGCATCTATATGGTGTCAGTCTTCTCTGGGTGATATGTTCGACAATGTGCTGACCACCACGGCACTGCCACCTGGAAATTATAATTAACAATTAATTGGCTGCTCTAGTGACTCACTTTTGTTTAAACCAAATATCAAAAGTCATTTGCTTAGAGCAGCTGGCCGCTAACACGTTAACATTTCCAGGTCTCACTGCCGTCGAGGCACACAATCAGTTGATATTTTGCAATAAGTGTACACAAAATTGATTGCTGAGGCCATGCTAAGCGGCTGGCCTCAATAATCGATTTGATTAAATTCATTTAGTGGGTAACACAAACAAATGTCAGAGTTCAAATTATACTGATTCATGCATGCCTGGAATGGGTTGCTTGTTTGTGGTACTCACTAGTGGACTATTAAAACTAAAAGTGCATTTTATAACGACAATATTATAAAGTGCACTTTTTGCTTTTAATGGCTAATACAATTTGCTTTATAATAACATCGGTTGTCCATGTAAATTTAGTAAGAGCATCCATGTACCTTGCTAGCAAGCCATATATTATATATATAAACACAATCTAACTAAGAAATTAACCTAGCCATTACTAACACACACGCTTAACAAGTTCTAAGCATTAGCTAAGATTAAAACAGATTCAGGCTTAGTTAGTTTGGTTGGGTTAACATTGCAATGCGATAAACGAGGGCTAGTCATTTTTGAAGTCAGGTTTAATATATATATACATTACGTGTTAAGATGAATTTTATGTAAACTATTACAATTTATTTTTGCTAAATAAAGTTGATGAAGAAAAACCCAAATAAACTATTGTTTTTGTACATGGAAATTGTTAAAGTCAAGGCAAGTCTAGTTAATGCTGCCTTCTGGGCAGTTAAAGCAAACAACCCTGAGCTGCATTTGTGTGCGGATTTCAGATTTCAAACAATGGACTTAAATTCAAATAAATATTGTATATTGCAGTGCACATAAAATGAATGGCTCTCTGTGTGTGTGCGAGTGTTGTGTGTGTGTATAAATGTGTGCAGCTTGTTTATCGTAGGGGGCATTTTTGCGCCCTTACAATTCGACATGGGGTGAGTCGAACAATGGAAGATTGCCCGTCACCTGCCACAGAATTACGAGTACAAAACGAATGTACCAATACCTAAAATATACATCAGCAGCAGCAGCAACAACAACAACAGCAGCAGCAGCAGCCGACAATCCTGAAACATGAGCCAAGTGGCAGTGGACCTGCATGAATGCCACTCAAATTATTTAGTTGAATGAACCGGCAAGAGTCGAAATACTGACTGACTGAGTGACTGCCTGACTGACTGACATTTTCCGTTACGAGAAAAGTGAAAAGCGCCCCGGGCGTTAAAAAAAACTAGAAGAACGGCTTCGACACGCCGTAGATTAAATACCCTTGTAGACATGTGGCTAAGAAATGTTTTCATGCCATCGTTCCTGTAGAAGCCATGTGTTAAATTAGACCGACTTAATACGGAATTGCAGACATATTAGGAGAATAGAAAAGCTCGTAATTGCTGACTTGCCGAAGAGGTTGAAGATATTTCAAAGAACAGAAAAGTTTTCCGTATGGAAACTCGTTTTGTAACTGATTTTTCCCATTTGGCTGCAGGATATATTAGTCCGATGTCTATAAGATGTTGCTCATATGTTAGGAGCATTATAAGACTCAAAGATGCCAAGTCAAGACCTCTTGAAAACAACAAATTTTCTTTAAAGAACTTAATTTATGACCGACCAGTCCTATGACAGCTATATAATATAGTGATCCGATCAGACCAACTCCGACATTTTTACAGAGTCCGAAAATATACTGATAATAAAATTTGTAACGTCTGCAACGCCTCGGCTGTTGATACTAATAATGATATATATACTTCATGGAATCGGAAATGTCTTCTTCGACGCGTAACAAATTTCGTAACAAATTTATAGTACCCTCTACTCTAGAGCATAAAAAAGGGTGACTTGAACGCTACAAGATGCAGAATTGTGGCATGCAACTTCTCTCAAGGCATTCAATGCAAAGCAGAGACCTATGAACTAAGCCGCTGTGGCAAGCGACGCGTTTGTCATTTGGCGCAGCTTTGTTGAAGGTGTCGGGATTTATCTTAACAATAATCATTATTATAGCCGGGACATTGCTGTTGTTCCTGTTGTACTGGTCCGTCACAAAGGCGCAAATACGCAGCGGGCGAGCTGCTAAGCTGCATTCATTTCCACAGAACTGGCGCTGAGGGATGCATGAGGGCAGCCCGGCAATAAGACGCGGAACAGGGGACGGGATACGGAGCAAAAGGACTCGGGCAAATCGGGCTGGCATCATTAGCGTCCTGCATGCTGATCCATGGCCATGGCCAGTTGTGTTACAGGGTAGCTGTAGATGCTTATCGGCGGATCAATAACGGCATTACGAGTACGTCTAGCTACAGCCCCTGCCGTATCCTCTTCACCCCGACTGCTGTCTATATGACTATGCTAATGCTCTGTGAGGCTGGCTAAACAATTTGGCGATTGCCGTAAGACGATAAGGAAACCAAAATGGAAACAAATTGCCAGCACGGTGCAAGGAGCAAACACAATGCGAATGCGTCAAGTGCAGGTCCTTTGGGCACAATTTATATACGATTCGCTGAGCAACAGCTTTGCTTCCGGCTGGAATGTAAGATATTACGTATTTACTTCACGATAAAATAAAAGCAATGCTGCAGTTCATTTTAAGAGTTTGTCCAATTTTACTGGGCTATAAAACTGCCCTTTCAATCTCTTAGAAAATCTATATTTTAGTTTTTGGGCTTATAAAATAAAATTATAATATTATTATATTTTCTACTTGGTCTACCCAGGTCTGCATTGTTTGAGGATTTATTTTGACTTTTCTCCTTTTTAGAACTTCTCTCTCTTAAAAGAAAATATTCTTTAAATAGTGCCCTACTCTGCGATTCTCACGAAACCTATTATGTCTCGCTTTTGTGCTTTGGTTATAAGTGTTCTTTTAACTTATCTCTGATCATACTCTAATTCTTATTTACTCTGATTTTTCAGTTATGTTTTCATCATATAAATTTCATCTATACTAATAGATGTGGATAAAAAAAATCGTTCGTGTGTATGTGAATTTGTGGGTAAGTAGATTTTTACATATTTATTTTTACATATAAATAAGAGTATATTTTAATTCAGCTTTATAACTTTTAAACAATCTTTTATTAAGTTGTCTGAGTATTTCTTTTATGACTTTAAAGACCTTAAATCTCTATATCCATATCATCTATATACTAAATTAACTAACAGGATGGAAAGTCCTAAAACTTGACATATGTGGGCATAAATTATGGACATTTCGTGTAATCCTTATTCAAGCATAAACGTGCCAATTTGTCATTTCAGTTCCGATTCCGATATCAAAATGGCAAAATCGCAAATCGAATTTTATTTGGCGAATTGATTGTTTTACGCCTTTTTAGCATCGAACTCGTATGCATTTCGTTGACACACTTTTTCATAAAATAAAAAAAAATTCTAACCCTTTTGCGGTACACGTGCAGCATCGTACCTTGTGCCCCTTTTGGCTTACCCCTTTTTCGTTTGGCAAACAAAATCCGCTCCGGTGTTGTTGTTGATTTTTTTACGGGTCGAGCCGAGCAAGTTGCTCGACCTTTTTAGCGATTCATTGCCCTGCTCGAATTGGTTTATCTGTGAAATCTGTGACGTTGTGTTGTTTGTGTTGCAACAGCGTTCGGGGTTCGCCATGCATATGTATATAAATATGTGTGTTTGTGTGTGTGTGTGTGTGTTACTGGTACTGTTATGTAGGTCCTCGGCTGTCCTACCTTGAGTTGTGTGCTCATCTAACCGAAAAACATTGGATAAACAAACAGCCGTTCGAGTATTTTGTTACATTTGTTGCCGAGCCGAGGAAGCCAATCTGTCGCATTTGTGTGCATGCTCGTCCTTTCAGGATAATCATTAGACTGTGTGTGTGTGTGTGCGTGTGTGTGCGAGTTGAAACTGTAAACTGTGCTGCAAGTTTTGATTGCGATTTTAATCCGATCTGAGCGGTTTTAGTCAAATTTAAGCAGATTTGTGTCACATTGTAGCAGCCGAAAGTGGTACGCAAAAAATGTAAACACATGTAAATCAAAAATCATTTTAGATACTCATGAATCGAATTGAGATAAAATACTTTCAAAGGGAATATTTTTCGTATAGGGGCATGTCTTAAGGAATTTAATATTCGAGACAAGGGGAAAGCATTTGTATTTGCATGTGTTTCTCTTTTAATATGACACAATTAAAGTAAAATTATTAAAGATCCTGTAAGCTTTACATATACTTAAAAGTTATACTTGTGTATTTTTCAATGTCAGCACATGTATATCAAAAATCATACTAGATACACACACACATCAAATTGACAAAACATACTTTTAGACAATATTTTCAAAGAGGAAGACATAAAAATATAGTTGAGAACAAAGAACGATTTTGTCAGCTTTCTACATCTTTTACAACAAAAATATATTTGGAAATTTTCTTTATGGATAATTCTATAAAATCACACTTCACACACAAATTGAAAAACAAAATCAAATGAAAAAATATATTTTGAAACATTGTCTTACTAAAATTTATGTATTCAAGGCGAAAAGACAGTAAATCTTTACCAAATTCAAACATTTTAATTTTTAAGGTACAATATTTTGTAAAAAAATTGTTTTGTTCTTGCCGATAGCTCATCAGTTACATATTTTACATATTTAAGTTGAATAAAAAAAAATTCACCTTAAATTGTTTTAAAAGACATTTGAAATTTTCGTTGGTAACATAGAAAGTTTGTTACTTATTTGAAAACGAAAGACTTTCGCCTCTTTTGCGTTTACCTGAGCTGTTGTACTGCAACGAATTTGATGTGATTTTACCTATTTAGAGTTTGGCAACCCGCCGGAAATGTCATTCCCTTTTGCAACCCCAGAAGAACTGCATGCATACATATTTCATATTCCAATCACAAAACAACAAAATTTCCTTTTCCAAATGAATAAACTGTTAGACAAACAATACATTAAACTTTACAACTTCACACCCGCTGCCTGTGTACGAAAACCATTAGAGCCGGCTAGTTCTACCCCCAGGAGCCGAGATCCTTTAGCCCTTCACTCAGCATTAGTGCTACTAGCAGCGAAATCGTAGAGCTGAGGCTGTACCACAAGCTACGACTTGATTGTTATGCAAATGAGGGCAACCAGGACGAAAGCATGCGCGCAACCCCAAACACAAATTCTGGGTGCAGTTCATCAAGTGGTCATAAATATATTTGGGTAAAGGACGAACGAGCGCCAGTCTAATTAATATGCAGCGCCATGTGCATAATGAATCTGACATTTGTAATTTATGGTTGATATTTGTTAAGTTTTTTTTGTCTCTTTCTATTTTTTAGTTTTTTTTTGCAGTGCATAAATTGATTTGAAGGCTGGTGCTAAAATGTCGGCAAAACAACGGTTTCATGCCCAGTTATTGTTAATGTAAACAACGCTTGATTGAATGTACTATTTGCCATTGATTGCAGTTTGAGCCAAAGCCGCATTAACGAACGCTTCCGTTCGCCTGTTATGCGCTCTAATGCCACTTCCGGTTTAGCGAAAAACGCGCGAAAATCCTGCGATTAGGCCTCCATTGTGCGGCTCGGCATAAAAAAAGAGAAAGAATATATTGCGAAAAACTGCAGTTTTTACCCCCAAAAAAAACAAAAACAATAAAGCGGCAACCTAACAAGTAGTTAACTGCAATTACAATCGCCTGAATTGCTGTCGGCGCTGGGTGTTTGCCCTAAGTCGCTTTTTATGGCACCTC